ACCATTCCTTGGCTTTCTCCAGTCACAGCCAGCAGATACCAAGAAATACTTCCTGCAGTGGATGAAGGTCTTTATGGACGACCTGTCCTCCGGTCACCTTGAGGAACTGAGGAGAGACTATCACAAGTTATGGTCTGAAATCCTGGAAAAAAAGAAAAGCAAGGAAAAAACCAATCCAAACCCTGAACTGCTGAGTAGGTTGGAGGCCCTCTCTGATGAAATCAACGATTCATCCGTTGGCCTGGAGCATCTGCTGAGAGAGGTAGGGCAGATCTATGAAGCTCTGCACTTAAGGAACTCAAAGAATGAAAACGTTGTCAAACTGTCCCAAATGGCAGCAGAGCTGATGGTTTCGGGATATCCCGTGGAGCTGATGGATGGGGATGCTTCTTACCTGCCCCTGCACTGGGTGGGAGCAATCTTTGACAGCCTCATTGAGAGGCTGGGGGACAAACGAGTGTTTGTTCTCTCCGTGCTCGGCATCCAGAGCACAGGGAAGTCAACCCTGCTGAATGCCATGTTTGGGCTGCAGTTCAACGTCAGCGCGGGGAGATGCACTCGAGGAGCGTTTATGCAGCTCCTGCCACTGGACGAGCAGCTGCAAGAGGACGTGGGCTTTGATTACATGCTGGTTGTTGACACAGAGGGCCTTCGTGCCATAGAGATGGCCAATAAACAGTCCCTGAACCATGACAACGAGCTGGCCACCTTTGTCATCGGCATCGGCAACATGACCCTGATCAACATCTTTGGGGAAAATCCCTCAGAAATGCAGGATGTTCTTCAGATCGCTGTGCAGGCTCTTCTGAGGATGAAGAAAGTAAATCTTTCCCCCAGCTGCCTCTTTGTCCACCAAAATGTGGGAGAAGTTACTGCCAAGGAGCAGAACATGGAAGGACAAAGACGTTTGCAGGAAAAGCTGGATGAAATGACCGTGGTAGCTGCCCAGCAGGAATGCTGTGACGTCTCCTCCTTCAGCGATGTCATCCGCTTTGACGTGAACACCCACATTCACTACTTTGCTCACCTGTGGGAAGGAAACCCCCCAATGGCACCACCCAACCCCACCTACAGCCACAACGTCCAGCAACTGAAGTGCAAAGTTCTCCAGGCTGCCAAGGAGTCCCAAGGCAGCATTTTGACGCTCTCCAGCCTGAAAGTCCGTATTGGTGACCTCTGGAATGCTTTGCTGAACGAGAACTTTGTTTTCAGCTTCAAGAATTCACTGGAGATTGCTGTGTACAGGAAACTGGAAACTGCCTTTAGTCAGTGGACCTGGAGGCTCAGGAGTCACATCTTAGATGTACAAATGAGACTCAACAACAGAATTCGGAACGGGGACTTGCAGCAAGTCACCACAGAACACCTGGAAGGGCTCGTGCAAGAGACAAGTGATGCCATCGTGACAGACATGGAAAAGTATTTCAGGGAAGAGAAACACCGTGAGATGCTGGTCCAGTGGAAAGGTAGCACAGAGCTGAAGCTGAAAGAACTAAAAGAGAATCTTCTTCTTGAAACTCGGAAGAAATGTCAGAATCTCATTGAACTGCAGAAGACCCAGAGTAAAGTGGACGCAAGGAAGTCAGAATATGAAGATGAGCTCCTGAGAAAGAGCAGGGAGTTGGCTCTGACGCTGAAAGGCAAGAGCCTCAGTGAGATACAACTGAGAGACAAGTTTACTTCTCTCTGGGCCGAGTGGATTACTGAAGTCTCCCGTGCTGCTCCCCCACCGGAACGGGTGGATATCGATGCGGAAATAGAAGATGTCCTTCTGGAGCATTTTAAGGAGCCTGGTTTCCATGCACGGATCAGGTCATTTCCCAAACACAGAGGATTTTCCTTGGACTTGAAGAAACATGTCACAAAGAAAAAGGGTTGGAAAACATACCTCCCGTGGAATGTTTCCAATGCTGATGTGATCTTGCAGGACATCACAGACAACATCATAGATCGTGTGTGGGCAAACATTGATAAGAAGGAACAGGAGAAACGGGATTACAGTCGAACCTTTATTCATGAAATACTCCATGAAGTACAGGAAGGTGTGAACTCCGTCCCCAGCGATGCACAATTTAGGGTTAACAAAGATTACATCATAGATTTATCTCTGTACCTGTGCAGAACGGCAGCAGAAAGGTTTAAAGCCATGCACAAAATGTTCCAGAAGGCAAATGACCCAGTCGTCTACCTGAACAGCAAGAGAGAAGATTTCTTCACATGTTTCCAGATTTCCTGCCAAGGAGCCACTTCTGTCACAGCTTTTGCTGTTTTCCTTTGTGACAAGCTTGCCCCAGCTCTTCGCCGGGCCGTCTATGAGAGGACAGCTAAAGCCATCGCTGGGGACATGCAGGGGAAAGTCCCAGATTTCCAGGGCAACAGAGCCAATCTGGATGTTTGTATCCTGAGATTCCTGGCACAAGAAGAAAACTTCCAGTATTTCAAGCAGTACCTTGAACATCCAAAAGAGTTTTTTCAGTGGTACATTGAGAGACGTGTTGAGAGTTACTGTTTAGGTGAGAGCCGGAGGCTGGAGAAGTTTTTAGATTCCTCCCTTGATGTTCTCTATGGAAACATCCTGTCAGCTGTTGCTTCATCAACCCAAAGGGTCAAAGACAGAAAAGACCAAAAGGA